AACTGTATATAACTAATAACTTAATCCACTCTAATATTATTGTTTGTAAAAATAAAAAATAAAATAAAATAAAATAAATAAATAAAACCTAGTTTTCCTCTCCATGCATCTTTCTCCTTTTTATCAATGCATGCATCTCGCTCTTACTTTTTTACTTCAATCATCTCTCTTACTCTCTTTTTGGATTACCAAATGTTAAATGTTGAGCATATTTCAAAGAAGTTAGGCATATGCTTTGTGATGCCATGAAAAGAAGAAAAAAACCAGTTCTCTCCATGCATCTTTCTCCTTTTTATCAATGCATGCATCTCGCTCTTACTTTTTTACTTCAATCATCCCTCTCTTACTCTCTTTTTGGATTACCAAATGTTAAATGTTGAGAGCATATTTCAAAGAAGTTAGGCATATATGATTTGAGATACCATGAAAAGATTGAAAGCTCGATAAGTTGATATAATGGACATGCTGCATACATGGCCTCGTGGGTTATTCTGGAATTTACCTCTCTTACCCTTCAAGACGACGAGATCAGTCAGCGAGTGCATGCCATGCATGGACAAATTTTATCCAAACTTGGACACAATTTGTTTTCCAAAAAAAAAAAAAAAAAAACAATGGACACAATTAAGGGAACTTTTTGAGGAGGATTCTCTACTCTCCTATTTCCATCCTCTTCCATCCCCTCCTCTCACACATTGTTTTTGTCTTATTATCTCTATAACAAAAATCAGTATAAGATGCTGATATGGCTTAACCGTGATCGTTCAAATAGGAGTGTATGGAAGGGTAGAGAGATTAGGAGGGTAGGGAATCCTCCTCCCTTTTTCAAAGCACTTTTGTTCTGATTCAAGGAGTGGGACCCTCGGTACATGAAGGCTTTCGATCTTTGTTTCCGTAGTGAACGACAACTCACATTTCAAAATTTACATACTTATACGGTCATCTCTAACTGAAATAGTTAAATATAGTTTCGTTTATAATTATAACCAAATAAAAAAATATTTTTTAATAAACAATATCAGGTCATACTCATCTACCATTTCCAACCGAAATGGCTAAACATAACTCCCTCAATAATTTATTAATTATGAGTTTATACTTAAAATTATTGATTAATTTAATTAAACTAACGTTGGATGTTTTGTTGGATATTTTCAAATTTAACCATTGAATTTGAATTAATTATTGTAAGGTCATCTCTAACCAAAAGGTCTAGACATAGCCCCGTCCAAAATTATAACCCAACAAAAAATTATTTTTAAATGAATAGTGTTAGGCCATACTCATATATTATCTCCAACTGAATGAGCTAAAACATAGTCTCCCTAATAATTTATTAGTTTTAAGTTTATACTTTAATTTAATTAAACTATCATTGGATGTTTCCAAATCTAACAGTTGAATCCATAGAATTATAGTCTAGCAATTGGTTGGAGATGAGTTTTTGGATAAATCAAGTCATTTTTTGGCTTTTAGACATTTAGCCCTCTCCATTGCAGATGGCATAATCGAGGAGCTGGGCCCTCAAAAAGGGGCTAAGAAAGGGGCACCAGCCAAATAATGGCATAGTGGGCTCCATAGAAGTATTGCCCTAGCATTGGTTGGAGATGAGTTTATGAACAAATTAGACTATTTTTTTTGCTTTTTGACCTTTAGCCCTCTTCATTGAAGATGATCTAAGCATGGGCTAGCTCATAAATTTATTACACAACGATATCGGGGATAGAAGTCGGCCGAGGTCACATATAAAAGGGTCAAGAATATTACGTGATACACAATGAATGAAAATCGTAAATACAAATGTATAGCATAGATCGAGATTCATAGATATTGAGACGTTGAATCTTTAACTAAAGATTCAATTACTAGAGATCCAACACTCATGGATCCGGATCCACTCTAAACAAACTTGGCAAACCGTTCTCCATGTACCATCTCCCTTTATCTATCTCCAATCTCATAGTTAACCTTGTAATAAGTACCTATCAAATAAGGACTTTCTCCTTGCAATTGCAGCCACAACTTAATGCTCTGGTCTTGATGAGTCCATATTATACCATATATCTTACTCTTATCTTAGTATTAATTTATTGGTTATTTTGGTGAAGTTTTGATACTTTGTTATGTATTTTCAATGTACGACATTCGAATTCTGCTTTAGCAAAAAAGTGATCAAACAAATGCATTTTGGAGTTATTCTAATTGGAGGATGTTCGTGAATGTTTCAAGATGATTGTACCAATATTTCAGATTTTTCTACCACGCCGTCTGACCGTGGCAATGAAATAAAGGACCAGCGCGCAGCTTTCCCAGATTAACATTTCTGGACGTTTTGGGCATTTTGGAGGTCAAGATGACATATTTTAAGGAAGATTCCTTCTAAGTATTGGGAACAACTTAAGCTTTAAAAAAGAGAATTTGTTGATTTGGTCAGTCAAAGGACTAATTTTCTGACAAGTCCGAATTTTAGTTAGAATAGGAAACTTGTTATTTCCTACTTATCTTATTCTATTATGTTTCCTAGTTTTTAGAAGACATTTTCTAGGTAGGATTTTATTTTGTAGTAGTATAAATAAGGCTATTTAGCCATTAGAGAAATGAGGAAAGAACGCATAAAATTATTTCCTAGTTATCTTATTCTATTATGTTTCCAGTTTTTAGAACACCTTTTCTAGGTAGGATTTTATTTTGTAGTTGTATAAATAAGGCTATTTAGCCATTAGAGAAAGGAGGGAAGAACGCACACACTAATTTGGAGAATTGCTTTTGACAATCCAAGTTTATTTTCAAAGTGTTTTCTATCCTTGTTTTTAATAATATTTTGTTTATGATTGTTCGTAACTAATTTCCGTTTGCTAGGGCGAAACCTTAAACCTTAGCATGAATATGTAGTCTTTATTTAATTACTTATGATATTATGCATGTTTACTTTGAATTATTAATCACTGTGTTTAAACTATCTCTATATCTTAATGTTTAGTTACCATTAGGATGTTTAGATAAGTAATCGGATGCAATTCGGTCAGAACATCACTGGAGGATTGAGTATTGCTTCTTGTGGTTAATAATTGTAATTTCACCTAAGACAAATATCACGCTTTAGGGGTTGCTTGGTTTTTCAAAAGGCTTTCACAAAACTTAATAAGTCTTGCATATTCATATTTGATCTGAATATCAAAGACGGATTGCATGTTAGATATACGTTCTTGCTTGAATATCACGAGGATAATATGCATAAGGAAAACCTAACCTTCAAAGTTGCATGTGTAATTCATAAGTAATTGGTAAAACTAAATACGATTGTTAAGGGACATACAACTTGGTTTTCAAAACGCTTTCTTTAGTTTTTCTTTACTTTGCTAATTTTTTTAATTGTTTTTATTTAAAATTCGTTTTTATTATTTTAAATTCCAAAATCAACCATTTTTGAAACTTTGTTCTAAATAATTAGCTAAGGATTAGTTTAAATACAAATCATTCATTCAATTCCTGTGGAAAACGACCTTGCTTGAGCTGTTATACTACGACTACCTTATTCTCTTGCAAGTATTTTTAAACGTTTTTATCCCTACTTTTACAGGTGGTAGAAATTATATCAGGTTCCTTGACAAGTTGTGGGACAATTGACACTTTGGAACAATGTGTATGTACAATTACCCCTTTCCTTTTCTTTGTGCAGCTACAACTTAATGCTCTGGCCCCTTGTGGGACAAGTGACACTTTGGAACAATGTGTATGTACAATTACCCCTTTCCTTTTTCTTTTTTTTTTTTGCCACAACTACTCTATATTTCAAAAACAGTCACATTGCCAAAAAATTGCTTGGACATTTTCCTGGTTTATAAACTCAATGTCCTTTTTGCCCTAAATTGCCATTTCCCCTCCACTTTCTCTTCCAGTTCCAAAAGGATTATAGAACATAAAAAGGAGTAATGGCACCAAATGAAACCCTCCAGCCCACATGGCATGTAATGTAAGTGATGATACCACTTAGACTTGTTCTCCAATTAAACCCTAGCTCATTTTATACCACAGACAAGAGAGTGTAAAATTAATGTTAAGAAAAAAGTATCTTTTTGCATAACAATGCCAAATGTTGTGCCAATTTAATGGAAATCGAAAACCAATTCATTGCCCACTTCAAGTTTTCTATTTTTTTTTGGGTTTAGTAACCGAACAAACAGAACCTTTAACGTCAGGGAAATTCTTCGTTGTCTTCAGGCTATATTGCCCTTTCTTTGCTTAGAACTTGTTTGGGATTCGTTCTGGAAAAAGCTAAATGCGTTCTGTTGTGCTTGGCAGAAAAAAACTTAGAAATTCTATTGACTCAATAAGCTCTTTTTAGAGAAGCATTTGTCAAATGCTTTTTCAAGAAACACTTTCAAATACTTTTTCAATGAACGCTTGGATTGCTTATAAAGATTCTATACAATAAAAGCACTTGTAGTTTAAGTGTTTCCTAAAGAAGTAACTCCAAACGAATCATTAGTCACGTGATATAAGAAATAGAGTGATATGTCCTAACACTATATTAATTCCAAGAATGGTGGGGGAGCTCTAGCAGCATAGGACCATGGGTTCTTTCATTGAAGAGGCCGACGTCTTTGCAATAATTGAGATAGAGTTCAAAGCCCATGTGATGTGTACAGTGGCATAGATTAGTCGACAGCCCACTAGCTAGTGCTTAGCATTGTGAGGATATAGCATAAGCCTCGACTGCAGTCCAAAGGTAATGACTGGGAACAAATTTCTATGAGTTTCTTATGTGAGTTCATCAAATATTGTAAGGAGCATAAGCTAAGTAAAATGAGTTATGATGATTGTAGGACTTCATTAGGTTAGAATGTCCAGATAAATATATAACTAATGTGGAGGAAAAATGTACGGGACACTATGGTGGCAAGATACCGTGGCCATGGAAGTCTTGTAGAATATGAAAACAATCTATAGGCAAACTATCTCTGTACTAATTTTGTGGTAGTCTATGCACGGTATAATCTCAGAGAGAAGAAGATATTCAGAATTAAAACATTCCTTGAGTAAATTGTAGACCATGGACGTGCAAAATCAGATCGTTTAACACAACTATAAAACTGTTTCTGATTTCACTACCTAGAACAACAATGTGCATGCATCAGAAGTGCTTACAATTAGTGTGTGCCCAAGCCTGAGCAATATATATATATATATATATATATAATGTATAAGAGCAAATGCAATCTTGATTACATCAACACAGATGTTTCTCATCACCTAATGCCTATCACCCCTTGTTACGGCAAGGTCTAGACCTGGGATCCGGGAACTGATAAAACTGCAGTCGCAAGTAATTAAAATCAGGAGCTTGTTCATCCATTTCATAACCTACGAATGCAACACAAATGTCAGCATCTTCCAGCGTTTCAAAAACAACAAGCACGGGAAAATAATGAGCAATCCAGTTAGTTCTACGCGATCTGGAGTGTAGAGATATTATGAACTCCAATATTAAATCACAAGAAGCCATCTATAACATTTTTGTGAACCGCCTCAACCACTTTATACCTACTATGCATGGAAGAATTTTAACATAAATTTTCCATTTACATGGTTGAATAAGGTACGATAGAAAATAGCACTTACGAACGTATAAGGAAACAAATAAAAACAGAACGAATAATTAAGCTTTCTTTGGCACTGATAGTCACGAAGGTTGATGACAAGAAAAAGGCAATGACCTTGCAAGGCACTCAGAGCAGTTGCTGCGCAGGCTGGATTTTCAAAATCCACAAAACAAAGAATAAGAGGATCCCTGCCACGCTGCATTATGGACAAACCTGACTCTTCGTTCACAAGCCTCACTGCTTTGTATCCCACAAAAGGACGAAAGATGTCTTAAAGAGTTATGTAAAGGATGAGCGATTGAAAAATTATTGAGTAAAACAATAAGATTGGAAAGCAATATGCAATCATTCTTAGGCATCATAGAAGGATCATAAAGGATACGAGCTACTTCCCTCCTTGTGCTATCAGGAGGAAGTCCTTCAACATATAAAGTGCTGGATGCATCCAGAGGAAAAGGAACTGTTTCACGCCCAGGCTTAGGCATTGTATCAACTGGGAGCTGATTAGTAAGACTCATATTTCGACCATATGTTAATAGATCAGAAGACGTAGCTCTACGACTGCCCCTCATAGAATGATCTGCCATTGGAGGACCTGTCATTTCACCACTAACAGCCTTTCCCATTCCAGCTCCACCAAAAGTACTCGCTTCTCCAAAGGTGTACGAAGGCATTTCCTTTAAAAGCAAGTAGGATACATGTTTTAGTACAAAAACAGAGATATGTATCACAAAGGAGCAACTAGAGGAAGAAGAGGCCATATTGAATGTTCTCACTATCATAAAACCAAGTAAAATGGAAAAGAAATATCAAGAGAATGTCGATTGAAGCAAGTCAGAAAGCAGAAAATAGGAACTGCATCAAATACAATTGTCTCAAATAAAACAAGTGGATTGTCTAACATTAGGCATATTACATGATACACAATGAACGAAAATTGTAAAAACAGATTCATAGCATAGACCGAGATTCATATACATTGAATCTTTAACTAAATATTCAATAACTAGGGATCCAACGGCCATTGATCCCGATCCATTCTAAACAAACTTGGCAAACCATTCTCCATGTCCCATGGTTAGCCTTGCAATAAATACCTACCAAATAAGGACTATAGTCCTGGGTGGCTGGGCAACAGAGAAGAAGAAACACCAACGACGACTTGGAATTATACCAAACCAAGTCCATCCGTCGATCTAATCCAGAGCTTGCTCCTTGCTCTTGCAATTACAACTTATATGCACTAGTCCCTGGACAAGTTGTGGGACAATTTACACTTAAGTACAATAACTATTTACAGTTACCCCTTTTGCCTTTTTCATTTTTACCACAACTACGCTATATTTAGATAACACATTGGCACCAATAAATTGCTTAGACATTTTCCTGGTTTATAAACTCAATATCATTTGGGAAGTGTTATTGGCATTCCAAAAATCTCATTCTACTCCTCACAACTGTATTTTTCTTTCCTAATATATAAAGTTTAGAATGTAGAATAAGATTTTTTAAGTGCTAATAACAATTCTCTATCATTTTTGCCCTAAACTACCTTTTCCCCTCCTTTTTCTCTTCTAGTTCCAAAAGGATGATAGAACAAGAAAAAGGAGTAATGGCACCAAACGAAACCCTCCATACCACATGGCATGTAACCACTCAGACTTGTTCTCCAACCAAACCCTAGCTCATTTTTTAACACACATTAGAGTGTGTAAAACTAATGCTAAGACAAAAAGCATTCTTTTGCGAAACAATTCCGACTGTTGTGCCAATTTGATGGTAATTGAAAATCATTCATTGCCCACTTCTACATTTCTCTTTTGTTTGGGTCTAGTGACCGAACAAACAGAACCTCAAATGTCGGAAAGATTCTTCGTTGTCCTCATGTTACATTGCCCTTTCTTTGCTTAGAACTTGTTTTGGCAAAGCTAAATGTGTTTGTTGCGCTTGGCAAAAGAAAAAAGAAAAAAAAAATTCTTTTAACTCATATAAACTCTTTTTAGAGAAGCACCTGTCAAATGTTTTTTTGAAGAAGCACCTTCAAATATTTTTCAATAAACACTTGAATTGTTTGTAAATATTTTTAATGTGTCTACAATAAAAACACTTGTAGTATAAGTGTTTAAAAAAAAAAAAATTTAATTTCAAACAAACCATTAGTCACATGATGTGGGAGACAGCAACATATCAGACGGTATGCTAATTTCAAGAAGGGTGGGGAGGAGCTCTAGCAGCATAGGATTATGGGTTCAAGGCCCATGTGATATGTACAGTACCATATAGACTAGTCGGCAACCCACTAGCTAGTGCTTAGCATTGGGAGGACATAGCAAAGCCTGTCCTTAACCGTAGTCCAAAAGGGAAGGACTCGGATCAAATTTCTAACACCAAAAGACATGACACCATGCATTGTCCCTTCTCATCATGCACTGTCTCTGCTTTTCTCCAGGCAGTGCAAGTTACAAGAAAAGACGAATTTGATCGGTAGTCATCTTCACGTTTCCGTTTTCTCCTTCTGCATTCACCTTTTGTTTCTTTCCACTAATTCTCCTTTGATTTGATTTATCCAACCCTAAAACTAGGAAAATCGGAGTTGTGCAGGGAGAACATGAGAGAGCGGAAATCACTTACCATATGATATCTGTAATATAATCCTGCAAATCCGTGCTAAAAAAACACATGCTTTAAAGGGATTGTGCCTGAGCAGCATGCCACTTCCAAAACACTACAAGCATTCCTAGTTCAATAGGCTTGCAACATCCAGACTGCTTCTCACTACTCTTGAATGGAGGCAGTTCATTCCGCGTTGCACTTAAATATCTTAAGCCAGCTAATTTGGTGATCAAATGTGGAAGATTTCACCCCTTTAATTAGGCTTCCATTCTTCTTCATACGTATCTCCATCACTAGAATGCTTCCCGCTTTAGAATATAGAGAGCAGCTTCCATAGGACGAGTGCATTGCCACCGCAGCATCCCATGCCAATGACATAATGTCATATTAAATTTCTCTCCCCATTACATTTTGTCATTGGCACGGGTCACTCGGGGCAAGGTACCCGGGCCATCGAAGTCCTCCAGAATATGGAAATAATCTATATGCAAATTATCTCTGCACTAATCTTGCGGGAGCCTATGCATGGTATAGTGTCAAAGAGAAGAAGCTATTCCGAATTAAAACATTCGTTGAGTAAATTTTGTAGACCATGGACGTGCAAAATCAGATCTCCGTTTAATTGCACAACTATAAAACTGTTTCTGATTTCACTAACTCGAAACAACAATGTGCATCAGAAGTGCTTACAATTAGCGTGTGCCCAAGCCTGAGCAATATATATATGGAATGTATAAAAGCAAATGCAATCTTGATTACATCAAAAACACATCTCTCATCACCTAATGCCTATCACCTCTTGTTACGGCCAGGTCCGGACCTGGGACCCGGGAACCGAGAAAACTGCAGTCGCAAGTAATTAGAATCAGGAGCATGTTCATCCATTTCATAACCTGCAACCGCAACACAAATGTAAGCATCTTCCATCGTTTCAAATACCACAATCACGGGAAAATATAATGAGCAATACTAGTTCTTCACAATCTGGAGTGTAGAGATATTATGAACTTCAATCATAAATCACAAGAAAGCCCTCTATAACATTTTTCTGAACTGCCTCAACCTCTTTACACATACTATGCATGGAATTACTTGATTGAATAAGGTACGATAGAAAATAGCACTTGGGAAGATATAAACAAAACAAATAAAAACAGAAAGAAGAATTAAGCTTTCTTTGACACCGATAGTCACCAAGGTTGATGACAAGAAAAGCAACCACCTTGCAAGGCACTCAGAGCAGTTGCCGCACAGGCTGGATTTTCAAAATCCACAAAACAAAGAATAAGAGGATCCCCGCCACGCTGCATTATGGTCAAACCGGAATATTAGTGTGAAGAAAGATTATAAACTTCCCAAAAGTCAAACCAAGCAGCAGAACGAGAATCTTAAGTCAGAGTGATCAAGAAAACAGAATGACAAAGAAAAGTAATTGTTTACAATAATTCACCCCCTCATACATGTTTGGACTCTTTGCTCACAAGCCTCACTGCTTTGTATCCCACAAAAGGACGAAAGATATCTTAAGATTTATGTAAAGGATGAGCGATGGAAAAATTATTGAGTTAAACAATAAGATTGGAAAGCAATATGCAATAATTCTTAGGCATCATAGAAAGATCATAAAGGATACGAGCTACTTCCCTCCTTGTGCTGTCAGGAGGAAGTCCTTCAACATATAAAGTGCTGGATGCATCCAGAGGTAAAGGAACTGTTTCACGTCCAGGCCTAGGCATTGAATCAACTGGGAGCTGATTAGCAAGATTCAAATTTCGACCATTTGTTAGTACATCAGAAGACATAGCTCCAGGACGACCCCTCATAGAATGATCAGCCATTGTAGGACCCGTCATTCCACCGCCAACAGCCCTTCCCATTCCAGCTCCACCAAAAGTACTTGCTTCTCCAGAAGTGTACGAAGCCATTTCCTTTAGAAGTAAGTAGGACAAATCTTTTAGTACGAAAACAGAGAGATATAACACAAATAATAATAGGCATAATTTCAAATGCTTAAGAAAGTCACCGCATTCTGAAGATAGCGGTCATATGCTGATCCAATTGATCTGTTATCCTTTACAGTCCTAGGACCACCAAGATCATCCTCTCGTGCAAAATAACCATGCATCTCTTGACCTGAAGACAGGTTGACAACACAGAAAAGTAAGGGCCTATCTGGTGATGTTTTCCAAAACCATCTGCATAAAACGCTTTCAGAAAACGAAAACAATATAACATTCTTGTATTTTAACATTAGATAACGCATCTGGTAGAATAGTTTGAAAAATGTTTCTTAAAACAAAAACAGTGAAAACGTGTTCAGTGCTAGTGTGAGAAAATTGAATTACTGAATTTGTATTAGGCAGCAACATTTTGAAAACTAGTGAAATTGATTTATCCCATGTCTGCATCAAAGCTAACCAAAACCATTGTGAGTTAGAGCCTTATTAAATGGAACATTCATATCAATGAACATCCAAAATCAGACCTTATTTTTATGCAATACAAGTGCAGTATAACCGTTTCAGTTTTAGAAGCAAAAATAAATAAATAAAGCAACACCGAAAAGAGATAAAGAAACTGATACAAGTACAGTATAACCCTTCCGACACCAAAAAGAAATTGATACAATAAAATAAAGCTACATCCAACATCGCTCTATATCCCATAAAAGTCCGGTATAACTATCCCAGTTTAAACTGAAACCAAGTACGATTCAGCATCTTCAGTTTCTCCATTTACAAGTTCTACCAAATTCTTGACGACTCTAGTTTAAATTGAAATAATACCAAATTCTACCATCCACACCTATTTACCTTGAAAACAACCCACAACCAAATGTTTTCATATCAAAGACAGACGACAACATTGCAGGGGAGAGGGGGAAAGGGAGGAGGAAGTAGAGAGAGAGAGAGAGAGAGAGAGAGAAGGGGGAGGGGGGGGCGCGGGAAGGCAGCAAGGAGAAGAGGGTCCACAAGTTGGTTTTGATGAATGGGTCTCAGACAGGCTTTCGGAGTGGGGCTGGAGTGCAAGTTTTGAGGGTGTAGAGAGAGTGGGAGGAGGTGAGGAGGCAAAGAGAGATAGAGAAAGAAAGGCACAGAGAGGCAATGGGGTGTTTGGTTTTTTGTCATGGGTTTTTGAGAGCAGATAAACATGAAAAGTGAGGACCAACAACAAAGCCTCTGAAGAAGACTGAAATATTTATTCCAGTTGAAAGGTTCCTTTTTGTGTTTCTAACTATTCACCATGTTTCACTTTTCCCCTGAAAACAACATAAATAGTGGAAAGGTTGTTTCATAACTTGAAGAACAAAATTGAGATCATTTTACAGAATAATTTTCCCATGTTTTACAAACTTAATGCACCGAACACATATTTGACCTTTATTAAAAATTTAAAAGGCAAAACACTGAGAAAACATTAACAAATAGACCCTGATTCAGCTGTATATATTACAACTATAGAACAAGATAAAAGGCATTAAAAAAAAAGCAGATGGAAGAACTTAAATGATGAAACCAATTGAGAAACATTCGGTGGAAGTAGAGTATACCCCGTCTAACAGTTAACAAACAAGGTAAAAACCTAACTCTTTAATGTGCAGAGTTAGACCAAAGGTGTGGAATGAGCAATTTCACTACAACAACTAGGAGATATTTGAACAAGTAAAACTGCTATCAATGTTCCAAAGTACAAAGAAAACATGCCAATCAAAACATCTACGTACAACTATACAAGTCTATGCTTTTGATCAGTGACTAAGAAGTTATAACAAGAACAACTCAACAAACAAATAACTAAATGAATAAAAAGGAGAATTTGGTTATATCAAAATGTATACCAATAATACGCATCAATTTGTATATACAAATAATTGCATTATAAATATGTATGGAGGATCTTATTACCATCATTATTGAATAGCATTAGATTGGAAGACTGACCGCACTAAAAGGAAAGAATCTACTTGATAATTTCAGAGGTTTGGAGTTCGGTTGGGTTCGGGAAAAGACCCATTCTTAAGTTCCTTGCAATGTAATTGGAAGCCTAAATGATTTTCTAGTAGTTTCCATTTTCACACAGGTCTTAACAAACACACTGAACAAGGTTTTCCCACCTTGAACATAACTTAATAACAACCAGTAACTTCTAAAACTAACGCTAAAGTGGAAATCTTTCAAAAGTTGCTCTAAAAATGAAACCCAGTAAATAATATCAGTAACAATGGACCAAAGGAAACACAAGGGCCAAAAACTGTGATCTGGTTACAAAGAAAATAAAAACAGAAATCATATGCTTAGTAAAGCTTTCATGGAAGATACATTATTATATGGAATCATACAAGTACGAGTGTTGATTGCAATTGTAGTAGGTGGAACAGATAGGCTAAGACTATTATGTGCTTCAAGAACCCGAAGATGCAAGAGTATACATGGAACTATGGAAGCAAAACATTTATTTTATTTTTTTTAAAAGAAAAGAAACGAGACACCTAGCTACAAAACCAGAATCTGCATATCTACTAGAGTAAGTGGAGATGCATACAAGCAGAGTCATCAGACAACTGAACTGGAATCCTTTGTCAACCATAGATACCCTTGACCCTTCACATAAAATTCACCACTTTGAAACATAATTTACATTGAAACCCGAAACCCATCACGAACCACTAAGTAAAAACACTTATAACACAAAGAAGCAGACTTCAGCCTAGCTAAGTTGGCTCGAGCAGTGTGCTCCCCATCTAGGCCCAAGTTTGAATCCCCCTCTCCCCATAGTTTCGATTAGATTATAATATCGCTCGAATTATAAACAACAAGTCAGAAATTAAATGGTTGACAACTAAATCTATAATGCAAACGAATGCAATCGCAATTTCATCTAATTAAAGAAAATAACTATGAGAAATGGCCACAGAGGAGTTACCGTAGTCGGAACGAGGTCGTTTATGTACACCGCCAGAGGGACCCAGTTGATGCTGCTGCTGCTGCTGCTGCCGGTTCCATATGCCGTCCCCCATTTCAGTTTTCCTGCAAATTTCTAAATTTCAGCAAAAAAATAAAAAGCGATTACAACAAAGTAAAATTAACTAAAATAATTTGTTAAAACCCTAATTTGGTTAACCTCGTTGGTGGTTCGAATTCGAATTCGGGAACCCTAATTTGGACAAGCTTTTTCCCGCAACAGCTTCAGCTTCCGTGTTTTTATTTCTTTTTTCAGTGACCTGCTTTTGCTTCTTCGACCGATTTTTCACGTCGAACCTCGCCGACGACTCAGATCGCTTGGGTATTATTTTGTGTGGCTTTGCTGCGGGAGGCCTCATTGGTTCCCCTCAAGCATCCAATAGTGTTCCGGCACGTGTTCATGAGTACACTTGGAACGCCCTGGTTGGCTTTGCCAAGGAGCGAGTCTGATTGCGCTCATGGACCCGTTAGTTTAAATCGGATTATCACTTACCTCCCCTTAGCCTTTTTCTTTTCATTTTCGTCCTTTGTACTTTCAGTTTGTTAGCTCCGTTATTTCAGTCTGTCAAATGAGACAATGTAGCAACCAAAGATTCCTGTTCGAAGTTCTCGCCGGATCCTTTTCCTAGGAATTCAGAGGATCTCGTAATTATGTTCGTTCATATACATCATGCAGTCAGAAATCATTTAAAATTTAAAATTAAATATAAATAGTATGGGAGTATAACCGGAGTATACAATCAAAGTCAATCATCATGTGGTACATACGTGTGTCAAACAGCTGTTTCTGACTCATAACGTTCCTTATATTGTAACCAGCGGAACTGAGAAGACATGTTAGACAAATAAGGAAAATGGTTGGAGTCCTTGTGTAATTGTATATAATATTATTCACTAGCCGTCCTACAGCCATCAAGCCGTCCTACAGCCGTCCTACCTTGTCCTACCTACACACTAGCCGTCCTACAGCCGTCAAGTCGTCCTACATCCGTCCTACCTTGTCCTACCTACACACTAGCCGTCCTACAGCCGTCCTACCTTGTCCTACCTACACACTAGGACGGTTACCTTGTCCTACCTACACACTTGTATCATGTATATATATCCTTGTAATCTTGTAGAGAAAGATAATGAGAAAAAAAAGCATTCTCTTCCATTTTAGCATTCTCTTCCATTTTTCCACATTCACGTATCAATAACAAATATATTTTTTAGCCTACATATCTTTTTCTACATGGTATACAGAGCAGGTTTATAACCCTAGCCCTAATTTTTTTTTTCAGCAGCTTTCTCTGCCGTTCCCATGGCTATTCGTGGCCCGTCCCGTCCCTCCTCTGCTCGTCCTCCCCTCCACTGCACCTACTGCAATTTTGATTATCATACCCGAGACACCTGTCATAAACTTCATGGCTATCCCGTTGGCCATCCCCTCCATGGCCAACCGTGGCGACCACCGAGCCGTGCCACTGCTTCCAGTTCTTCCCGCAGCCATGCACCTTCCAGTCCTTCCCGGCAGCCACGGTTTTCTGCTTCCCGGCCCCATAATTTCACCCAGGCCCATCACGTGCAAGGCACCCAGGCCCCCGCCTCCTCTTCTACTCCAGCGACCCACCAAGTGCACGGGGCCCAGCCCACTTTGCATGACTTGCAGCTTGCCATGCCTGACCTCTCTGCCGAGCAGTACTCCCGTGTTCTAGCTGTTCTACGTGACACCACCACCCCTCCTCAGGCCAATGCCGTGCTCACTACTGATTTTGCCCAAGGCTTGTTACCTGTCACCTCTCGTCATGGTCAATGGATTCTTGACAGTGGTGCTACGGATCATATTACTTCTTCCGCCTCATGTTTGGTTAATCGTTCTCCTTCACATTTGCCGCCTGTTTCTTTGCCTAGTGGTGCTTCCGCTCCCATTACTTTTACCGGCACTCTTCCTTTAAATTCATCAGTTACTTTGAAGGATGTTTTATGTGTCCCTAATTTCCGAGTGGACCTTTTATCGGTTGGTAAACTTACAGATGGATTATCGTGTTCCATAACCTTCTTTCCTTCTTGGTGTGTTTTGCAGGACTTGGTTTCGAAGGCGATGATTGGTGTGGGTAAGCGACGTGGCGATCTGTATTACCTTGTGGCCCTTACCTCTTCTCTCCCCACCCGTCAACCTCTCTGCAACATCATTACCATCCCCTCCTCCCTCTGGCATAGGCGTCTTGGTCACCCCTCCTCCACTCGTTTGCAAGCTTTAGCATCTAGCTCTCTTAATTGTACTTTTGATTCTAGTCATATTTGTGATGTTTGTCCGTTGGCAAAACAAACTCGTCAACCTTTTCTTTTGAGTTCAATTTCATCAACTTTCCCTTTTGCTTTAATTCATTGTGATATTTGGGGCTCGAATCGTCAATCTTCTCTTTCTGGTGCTTATTATTTCTTAACCATTGTGGATGATTTTTCTCGCTTTACGTGGGTCTTCCTCATGAAACATAAATCCGACACTCAACAATTAATTAAGGATTTTTTTGCTTATGTCACTACCCAATTCCGTACTACCATCCAATGCATTCGTACTAACAATGGTGGTGAATTTTTATCTCTTCGTAGTTTTTTCTCTGATCATGGGGTGCTTTTACAAACTTCTTGTGTTTATACCCCCCAACAAAATGGCGTTGTTGAAAGAAAACATCGTCATCTTCTTGAAACCGCTCGCACCCTTCGTTTTCAATCCCATCTTCCTATCAAGTTTTGGGGGGAATGTGTTCTTACCGCTACTTATCTCATCAATCGTCTCCCTACCCGTCTTCTCCATCATAAATCACCATTTGAGGTTCTCTTTTCGAAAATCCCATCTTATGACCACTTCCGCGTCTTTGGTTGTCTGGCATATGCCACCTCTGTCACTCCCACCACCAAATTTTCCCATCGGGCTCATCATTGCATTTTTCTCGGTTATCCTCATGGACAAAAGGCCTATACCCTTTACGATCTCGACAATCACCGCATTTTCACTAGTCGAGACGTCATCTTTCACAAAAATACTTTCCCTTATGCCGTTTCTCACCCTCCTATCCCATCCTCTTCGCCTACCCTACCCATCCCACCCCCTCTGGACTTTACATATAACCCACCCTTTCCTGCCCCGACGCCTCACCCTCCTCCACCTTCCTCCCCTTCCACGCCTCCCACAGATTCCCTTGCTGCCCCATTACCCGTTCCTCCCCATGCCCCTTTACCCACGGACATCCCTACCCCCCCCTCCCCCACTACCTACCAATCCTCCCCTTCCCCGCACCTCTTCCCGTGCCCATAAACCTCCATCCTATTTAAAAGACTACGTTTGCTCGTAGGTGATTCTGCCATCCCACCCATCTTCGACTTCGCAACCCAGTTCTACACAAGGTACACGATATCCACTTTGTAATTTTCTCTCTTATCACCGTTACTCTCCCAGGCATTTTTCTTACATTAACTCTGTCAGTCGGACTGTGGAGCCTTCCTCCTTTGTCAAGGCTGCCACTGACCCCAATTGGCAACGTGTTATGACTGAGGAGCTTCAAGCTTTACATGCTAATGGTACTTGGACTTTAACTTCCTTGCCCCCTAGCAAAATTCCCATTGGTTGTAAGTGGGTGTACAAACTCAAGCACAATTCCGACGGCTCTATTGACCGCTACAAAGCTCGTTTGGTTGCTAAAGGCTTCACTCAGGCTGAAGGTATTGATTATCATGACACTTTTTCTCCTACTGCTAAGATGATTACGGTGCGTTGTCTTCTTGCTCTTGCTGCTAGTCAATCTTGGTCTCTTTATCAGCTTGATGTTAATAATGCTTTCTTACATGGTGACTTACATGAAGAAATCTATATGTCTCCTCCTCCTGGTCTTCGGCAACAGGGGGAGAATCTTGTGTGTCGCCTTCACAAGTCACTTTATGGTCTTAAGCAGGCTTCTCGCCAATGGTTTGCCAAATTCACTAGTGCCATCATTTCTGCCGGTTTTCAACAATCCAAAGCTGACTATTCATTGTTCACTAAAAAGTCTGGTATTTCTTTCACAGCTTTGCTCATTTATGTGGATGATATTGTGATTACAGGCAATGATGCTAGTGCCATTAATTCTCTGAAGTCTTTTCTTCGTGATCATTTTCGAATAAAAGACCTTGGTGTTTTAAAATATTTTTTGGGTATTGAGGTTTCTCGTTCCAAACAAGGGATTTATATTTCTCAACGCAAGTATGCATTAGAGATTCTCAAGGACTATGGTTTTTTGGGAGCACGACCCATTGCTTTTCCTATGGATGTGTTGACCCTAAAAATTACAAAACCTACGTGGCGCGCAGGCCGAGTAATTAATAAGCTAACTACGTCCTTCGGTTGAATGCGGGGCGTGCCAACTCGTCGGCCGAGCTCGGCCGAGGAGTAAAATTTGTTGACGTTGCGTTGAGCGCGTTGTTGACTTCTTTATCTTGCGACTGCGGCCGAGGAAGGAACAAATCTCGACCTTTGGATTCTCGAGCCTGAAGACAAGGCTGCTAGTTCTACGAAGTTCAATATCAAATTCGGCTCTCAAGGTGCCGAATGTAGTAACCTGGTAACACCTCACTTCGCCGAGAAGGCTAATGAGATGACCTCTGCCAATAAGGATTTGAAAATCCTTCTCGACCGAGACTTGGATAGATAACCAGTCGGCCTCGACGCAGTGCTGTTTATCCAAACTGAAGGTGCTTCGGGAACGGCTGATTCTAGGGCAACAGTGCTGTTTATCCAAACTGAAGATGTTCGCCGGTTGCCTTCACAGTGCTGTTTATCCAAACTGAAGATGTGTCGGCGGAAAAAAGAAAATAAAAAAATCTCAAGATGTTTGAGAGGTTTTGCGCAGGGCAGTTGTGTGTTGAATTGGAGGTCCCCTTCTGTTTTCTACGCATCTCGTATTTATAAGACTATCATCTTGATGGCCGTCATGTTGTAAAACTGCCATCAATACCAACGCTTCCTCCTGCATAACAATCTCATGCAAAACAAAAGATTGTTATGCCTTATCACTTACCAGCATGACACCACCACTTGCTAATTAATAGCATATACCCATTATTAGCACATATCTTTATGCTGATAAGCATCCTAATTTGAAATATGCCAATAACCTTTATGCACGGCTAACCAACTCCAAGCACACGTGGAGTTGATTCTCTGTTGATTACGCATCTTGGTATCCCATTTAAATGTATGCATTAATCTTCTCTGCCAATCAATATCCGTTTGCCAACCAACGTCGCAATATATTAAGACTCTTGATAAAATGCTCTGATGCTCCAATCTGTCACGC